CAGCAGTCAGAAATAAGAACAAAATTGCTTGCTTGCGCGCGAGCTATCGATCTGACGCTCTCGGGAGGAGTTGCACGCCCGCGATGCCGGCTGTGTTCGATAAAATTTAATGTTCCCCTTTCCGCCGAGGAATTCGATTAACATTAACAGATCGCGCGGGTCGCCGGGCGTGACTGCGTGAAATCCCAAACAGCGCGCCGCAATCAATTATTCTCGCACGGCGTCAACACTCGCGCGTTACGCAAACACCGATGACGACACGTGCGGGTCGCGCTAAGGAAAACAGATATTCGTATAATATTTGGACGTTTGCTAATCGAGCCGTGCGCGTTATTGCGGACAAACGTGCGATATGTCCCGCGAGCCGGAAATCATTACTTTTCGGGCAGGCCGCGGATCGCCGAGTAATTAGGATCGAACCTAGTCGCGGCTACTTTACAGTCTAATTACTGGCGATCAATCAGCTAACGATAGTGCCCCGTGGTATAGTTAATGTGTTCATAAATCAACCTTCCGTCGCGCCGGAGCGACGCTTTAACACACAGCCACACGGCGAATTACATGCGCCGAATCGCCATTGTGTTTATCGCGAGCCTGTACCATATTGTTTAGTGCGCTGTCGGACAGGCTAGGGTCGAGGATTTCGCGTCACTTACGTCGAATTCGACCACGCCTTTTGCCGACTATCAGTATCAACCGCCGTCATTATAAGCCGAGACTTGAGAGAATTTTTTTAACGCAATCATGTCTTTCTTTGCATCAGTATATTCTCCTCGTCGACCTGTGCATAGAAATATTAAGGTCAGGTTAACAAAATTACTTCCTTTGCGAGATACTTTATATATTTTATTTCTACATACTTCTTGTCTATAAAAATTGACCCCTTAACTTCCTCCCTACTGATAATAAAATTTGTGTGGTATAAAATTAAATTGCTTTTGACCAATTAATTAATGAAACTATTAATTACTTAATTAAATGATTTTTTTTTAACTCGTAGCAAATACAAACGAAAGTTAGACTTATTTCGTATTCTATTTCTTCCAAATTTTTGAAAAAATAGCAACAAAGAGAAGAGAGAGAGAGAAATCTAAATATGGTTATATAAAAAAATCTCTACTATGGAAGGAATCGCATAGACAATTTAAATCGCCACTAAATGTTTTGCGTAGTATACAATTTTGTTGACTTTATCTTAATATTTTGACATATATAACAACTTGAAAAATAAATAAGAAGAAATAATAAGGATAAATGATCAGATATAATAGGGATATATCAGATATTTTGATACCTGAATAATTTGAAAAATATCAAAATACCCACATGGAAGAAAAAGATATGATGAACTAAATATAATTTGCTGCATTAGCCACTTTTTTGCAGCAGGAACAAATTTTCTTGCTAAGATAACAAGAAAATCTGCTCCTGCAACAAAAAAAGTAGCTAAAGCAGTAAATTATGTTTATCCACTTATAGCAAATTTGCTACATTAGCCACTTTTCTTGCTGTACAAGCAGATTTTCTTGTTATCGTAGCAATTTTAGCATTATATCATAGCAATATGTTATAGCATTATGTTTAACTGTCCATATATAGCAAATTAGTTTGTTGCTGCAGCAAATCTTTTTTTTCGTGTAGGTATTTTAGCATCTGGAATTGACATCACTACACCGAGAGACTTTTATAGTAAAAATTACTACAGAATTTTGTTAAATCGAGGAATACGACATTCTGCAGTAATTGACTGTCCTTCCGTTTCATCTGTTACTTGTATTTATATAATATGTTATTTGTATTTTAAGAACTGAAATGTGCTATGCTTCCAGCAAAATTTACTATTTTTCTCAGCAAGATAAACCTCACTGGCAGTCTATCAGTACTATTAGTATTTAAAGTATCTGCACTATTAGTATTTAAAGTATCAGTGTATTCTTCACTGAAATACTGTGCTTATAACTGGTGGTACAGTCCTAAGTATAGCACTGCTATACTAATTAATGAAATATCGCTGATTGGGTCAATTAATAATAGCGACTACGTCTATTATTGATGCATTTTGCGAACACAGACAGTGCCAATGCACGCAAGATGCATGGAAGTCATTAGTGCTGTCGTCACACACAGCAGAAACTTGACAAAAGTTTGAGAATCATAATTTTGTGGGTTGGATCGTTCTTGCACATATAGTCAATTATTGGAGTGTATGAAGTTGGACAAAAAGATTTCAGTTGGAACAAGAAAGGAAGCATGTGTTTTCTCTTGACGTCGGGTGCTGTCAAATCGATTTTTTTTCGAATTTTCGGAGAACGGATGACGCTACGAGTCTCATACTCTAAAACTATAATTCTTAAGCCTAGCACAACTCAGAACAAAAAGATCTCGATTGGAACAAGAAAGATAGTATAAGTTTACTCTTGGTCCGATAGACTGTCAAAAACCTTTTTTTTAATTTTTCGGGCTTATAATTCAACGTAGGGATTTGTCTTTTTGGAACAATGTTTGGAACAACTAGAACAATCTATTGCGGTATCAGAATGTTCGATTTTCGAAAAGTGGGGTGCCAACTTCATACACTCCAATTATTGCTCGAATTCGCGAACTCTGATGCGTAAAATAAAAACCGCCAAAAAACCTCTTACCGTATCACTCGTTGGTCGTCGATTATCCTCGAGTGCCCGGTACAGAAAGGGATTAAATTCAACGAACGAGTCTTCCGCCCCGATTGGCCGATCTCAATCGCCGTTCTCTCCCGTGGAAACCTTCGAAAGACGGACGGAAGGAAATTGCCCGTTCACGACAATGCGATCTTTTGACGTAAGCGCGCAGCGGCATTATCGGCGACGGAATGGCGTCGCCATTCGGCCGCGTCGACCTTCCAGCGACGAGAGCTCCTCTCGTTCAAAGGAATTCACTACACGCGGCTCTTGCCGGTCCTTAGCTCATGACGGACAAATCGGCTCGATTCCGTGACGGGTGTTATTCCGCACGGCAGGGCCCGGTCACGGCGGATCTGTTTTCGCCTGCGCTCCTTGACGCCGCCGGAAATGATTATCAGCCGCGTGTCGATATAAGCTGGTCCATTTCGTCCGAAGGATCTTCGTTCGGACGACACAATGTTCGAGTATTTTGCGATCCACGTCTTGGAGAAGCTTGCTCGGGTGAAGCGAATTTTATCCTTTTCAGTAAATAGCCTAAGTTAGTTGAAAACTCAAAACAAATGACATCACAGGCATTTATCATGTTTGGCTGACGACTATTGGGGAGGAGATTTAACATCAGGCTGACAGCTGTCAGCTAAACGTCAAAAACCCCGGTAACGCCATTTGTTTTGAGTTTTAAACCGATCTGGACTATCTGCTCTCTTCAGTGGACATATACTGTTCCGAAAAAAAAACATCAAAAATTACTCTGTACTTTACACGCAGAAAAATATCATTCTACTGGAAGGGAAGTGATTATTCAGTTTACTCTCCTTTTTTTGTTTAAATAATGTTTATCTTCAACAAACAAATTTTTTAATAACAGTCTTGAGAAATATACACTGAAAAAAATATTCAAACTTATTTGTGTAGCATAAAAGTTTGTTTCGCAGAAATAAACTTTATATTTTAGAAATTAGTTTTTAAATATTTTTTTCCCTGTACAAATTTTAGACAAAAAGCTCATTATCACGTACTCAGAAAAAGAATCTATTCTCTTTGCAAAAATATTATAAAAGCCTTATTGAAGAAGAAGTTGATATGATATAACTCTGTATAATAAACAAATTTAACTTTTGTTTCAATTTAATGTTCTTGACTGAAATGTTAATTTTGCTAGGATTTAAAAAACATTTATATATTTAGAATAAATTTGCTATGATGAACTTGTGATAGATTCGCGAATATATAAACTAACGAAATATTTAAAACAAATGACATTTACTTGAATGTAGTATGCATTTTTCTGCGTATGCACTATCTATAATTATACTGACGCCGATCTAAATATGACGCCGATCAGTTATAAATTATAATTTTTTGGAACAATTGAACGCCCCTAATATTCCGTAGAAGTTTCATCTGAAGAGGTTGCCCTGATATTCGGAGATTTCGAGATTCTGACTGTCCAGGAAATTGTCCCACATTTCGAGTTTTCGATTATCCTGGACAATGCACGTCCATATACACGTTCTCTTCGACGTGTTGTCGACCTAGGCTGCGATTTTCGCCGAGATTGGCAGCTTTAGGACCTTTTAGATCGCCATGGATTTGAATATAATGGCGGAATTTCGGGGCTCGAAGACGCAAAGGCGAAACAACGACGATTAATAGGGCGAGCCGATATCCGCCCCGATGTAACTGTACGTGCAGCTCGATATGAGGAAATCCCGACTCCATTTGAAAGCCACTGCGAAGTTCCCGGACGCGCAGTTTGAAAAGCATTCTTAAGCCCTTCGCGACAAAAAGACCACGCACTCCCGGTGCGCCGTTAACTCGAATTCACCGACTGCATTCTGCCGACCTCTCTCGGCCGGAGAATGGGTGACCGTCCTCTTCTTCCTCTTCTCCCTCCTGCGCCTTTAAAGCCCATCGATTTATTCGCCGCATAATTCTACTTAATCTCTCGATCCTTCGGTAACGAATAAATATTTCTACGCGATTAAGCGCACCCAGCGAACGGCACACGTCTGGCATACGTCCTGGGTTCGCCTCGTCAAGAATCTGTGATTACACTCCATCATATTTAACGGCACGCTTGTAGATTTATCGAGGGATTAAGGGGCTCAAGATTTCTTTACAGCATGCATGACGCGTGCATACGACCGACGCGAGCGGATAATCCGTATAGAAAGAAAGAGAGATTCGAGAGAGAGCTTATTATTATTAATAAATTTGATTGCCGAGAGACTGAAGCGTCGTTGAAATGAATATATGAATATATGCGGTTGAGAGTAAAATGACACAAATCCGAGAATATTATATTTACAGGATATTTATTCTTGTAAATCGACAAAGTACAGTTTTGAAACGGCTTTATTTCGAGCAGTATTGTATTACACACACATTCACTGTTATATCTCTTTAACGAACTCCTTAATTATCGACGACCAAGTGCCATTTATTATCATCGACCATGCTCGCCATCCTCGTCGCACGTATTGTTTCCTTGGAGAATATCTCCATTATCATATTATCGATTATGTCCTATGATTTACGATTCGCTTTAACTCTTTACCGCATATGCCGTGTATTACCGCGATATTCTAATTCGCTATTTTCCTTTTTTTTTCTATAAAAAAATAACGACAAAGGGACTTTTCACATCAAACTGTATAATATTACATTTAACGTGCTTATTTCTCTCTCACGACACACACGTGCCCGATCGAATGCCGCTCTTATCTGGACATCCGCGATTCTTCCGCGCTTAAGGCTCCTAGCCGCTCGCCGCAACCATATTGGATTGTGACGTCAGAAATGAGAAATAACACACTGAACATTCTTGCGTACTATTTTCAAATGAAAAGGTATTTGTACGAAAGAACACTTCGGATTGCTTGAACGTGTAAAATATTCCAAAAACTGATCTTTCCTCTTGATAGTCAATAAATAGCCATAAAATAAACGTGACAAAATCATGAGGAAAAATGGGAAAAAAAAGATTGCATGTCATGTTAATTTGATGGCTATTTATTGGTTGTCAGAGAAAAAGAATAATAATAATTTTCAGAACATTTTACAAATTTGCTTAATCCTTACAATTCGAGAAGCTGCTGTAGTGGCACGGCAGCAATTTTGTAAAATACAAATGCAATTTTTACGATTATTATTATTATCATTATCATACATTTTCCATACAAATTAATAAAAAAGAACTTTTAAAAAATATGAAAGCTTGAAACATTTTTTAAATAAAAAGTTACAAACAAGAATAAATATATCAATATATTTGTGTCATTTATGAATTTTTTATATTTCAGCAATAATATACTTTGAAATTTATACAAATATAGGCATTTTGTTTTATATATTTTGTGATTCTGTTTTCAAAGAAGTTATTACGTATTTTTGTATGATTTTACCACAAAAATAAGAAATCATGTTTTTTCATGTTTTTGGATAAAAAAAGATTTATATGCTATTAATAAAAAAAAAGTCAATTAGTCAATAAAAATAGATACACAAATATATCTATTTCCTTATATACTTATACAGTAATAATATACTTTAAAATTTATACAAATAATAGACTTTTGGTTGTATATTTTGACTTTCCTTACTATCATATATAGCGTATTAACGATCTGATGACCCAACTTATATATGTACGTGTTTCATTTTAGCGTCAGACGCACTGCATATTTCTTAAAATTTTCTACAAAATAAACGATAAATAAATTTATATTCTTTCATGATTTTTAGTATTAAGTTTCATGATTCTTAGTAAAAAGATTTATGTATGATTAAATAAAAAAAAGAAATCAATTTAGCAAAATATTTACTATATAATCCGAGAGGTCACCATAGTGACGAGAAGTGTGTCATGTTTTTTACTAGTCTATCTTTTGGCGTATATAAAAAAGTTCTGGCTCAAATACTGTAAAAGGGAGAGAGAAAGAGAGAGAGACCGTCTGGTTTGTAAGGGTTGATCGATCAAAAGTGTTCTTTCTGATAAATATCTTTTTATTCGGGAATGACGCGCGAGAATTTTAGACACGAGTTCCACGGCGAGTATCCAGGAGTCTTAAGAGGGTGACGTTCGACTACGCTCGGTCGAGCGAAGGGACTCCCTTGCATTCGCGCCGCTACGTAAATCCTCATTCGATCTTGCCGAAGAAGAACTTTCTGTCTTACGCGATGAACGTGCATCGTACATACCGTCGAAGGCGACACACTCCGTACAATTCTTCGTTCCCGACCGATTCGCTCTCATCACACACGATATGTATCCCCGGAAATTTTATTCGCGAGAAAGCAAGTGGTTGTATCACTAGTTACTTACGCTCTGTACGCTGTTTGTCCAAAATATATTTTTTTTTCGCTCGTAAGAAAAATTAAGCGGTAAAGAGTTAACCTCGCAGTCACGGCGCGGACTCTGTCCGATGCTGCGCGCTTAGAGTAACACTAACGTTAAATCTAGGATAAAAAGAATACCGATAGAGTCACTGCGATCGTGTACTAACGAAGAGTAGTTACCATCGTCACATAGAGACAAGAAACACCGACGCGCCCCGTCTCTCCTCCGAGAAGAGTTTACGTTCCTTCTCTTCTGGATTTTTACACTGTCGCCCCCTAACGCGATTAGCTAAAATTAGAAGTACAATCGTCTATCATCTAGTAATTGTCACAGTTTCGATATGTAAACCCATCGGATTACTTATTTACAGTCTCGCGTGATATATATATTTAGAAATGTCGTCGCTTTTGCGGCTTTCGTGAGGAGCGTCGGCGAAATTACGCGATTAGATCTGCCGAAATGAGATAAAATCGAATTAGCTTAGCGCGCGCTTTATCCGTTAATTAAGTGAGTTTCTCGATTGGCGCGCTCGATACGATGCATCGCCTATAACACCGTGAATATTTAACGCACAGGCCGTGAATATAACCCGCTGGTGACAATGTAAGCCGCTGTGGAGTCTGTTGTGCGCGCTGTCTGCGCGCCGCTGCGCACGTTTCAGAGAAAGAGAGAGAGAGAAAGAGAAAACGCGGAGAAACACTATCCAAAAACAAAGTGGAGATCGTGAAAGAATATACGTCACGCACGAGAGAGACGACGTAGAGTTATTATTGCCCGCTCTTCTCTCCTCTCTCAAAGACGCACGATCGACTACGTTGCACCGTCGCACAATGAGAACAAATAGAAATTTACTGTTCAAAAATCGCTAGAGACCACAATTTTATTGCAAGCGGAATGAATTTTTTTTTAAATTAAACGTTAATCAATGTAGAAAAAAACTGTCGATTTTTTTTTAATTCTTCTAAATGTTGCAATATTAATAAGAATTAAGTTCGTATTCAGCAACCTAAACCTAATATACCTTACAGTGACATATTTCGTGTTACAGAAACATTTTTTTCATATCGGCTTCATATGGGATTGACAGAAAGCTGTTAAATACTAGATCTTAGCTGTTAAATACTAGATCTTAGTACTGACTTTACATTTATGTTGAACGACTTTGTATACCCTATTGCAACATATATATTGTGTTAAAACATAATGATTTGGTATAAAATAAAAGAAAAAATGGCTCTAATAAAAGGGTTAGAGATAAGAGCATTTAAGAGCCAGGCACAGATAAAAAAATGCAATCAATGTATTACAATTGCATCACAAATTGTATTACAAATTGTATTACAAATGTATTGGAATACATTGATTGCACTTTTTGACCTGTGCCTGGCTCTTAAATACTCTTACCTCTAACTCTTTTATTTTGTGTTTATAATGATTTTGTTTATGTTGACAGGAGATTAGCAGTTATAAAAAGTTATAAAAAATTATTTAAAAAAAATCATCCTGATTGCTATAAAATTGTGGTCTCTAGCGATTTTTGGACAGTAAATTCCTATTTGATCCCACTGTGATCGGTGGCGTTACATGCGCAATGCGTGAAGCACATGCGACGAAGAGTGTGTGTGTGTGCGCGACACCTTCTACCTTGTAAAATCATTTACTTGTACGTATTCCAAAGTTATAGGAGCTCAACACGGCGGCTCTCCAAATCAGCTCGTATATGCCTTAACCAGAATTGTACCCTTAGAAAGAGCAAGTACGTTAAAGAGAGAGTCGTTGATGGGACAAGCACGTTGAAAACTTCGCGAACCCGGTCCTGGAACTTCGTTTTCCCACGCGCGTGCTTACGTGTGTACGTGATACATGCATGTGTGTGTGTGTGTGTGTGTATATATATATATATGTGCGTGTGCATCGATTATCTCCGCTTACGTCAGTTACACCGAATAAAAAAGATCGGCTGAAAGGAACCAAGTTTCTGAATTGAGAAAATTTGGTTGCATCAGCTGCAGTCGAGTTTAATTGAATCAAAATCAAGCCTGTCCAATAATTTCATGTAAGAATTTCAACACTCCAATTTAGTCAAAAGCGAAAGGTTAATAGAACTAAAATGTACACGGAGAGAATTTAATAATAAAAATTACTATAGGGTTTTGTAACACTGAGGAATAGATCGACATTCTGCAACACAATTCACGATCCTTTTATTTTATTTTATATTTTAGAAACTGAAATGTGCTATGAAAACACTTGTTATGTGTTTCTAGAGAAATTTACTGTTACTTTGTAACTATGTTACTTTGTGTTATTATGTTACTAGCAAGGTAGACCTTACTGTCTATTGAATTACCAAAAACATAGTAAAATCGAAAAAAAGTTATATGAAAAAAATAAACTATAATATTCTCTCCGTGTAGTTATGCACATAGAAAAATATATACTGCATTAAAGGAAATGTTAATTATTTCAATTAATTTATGAAGTAATCTTCATGAATTTATATACCCACAAATCTGTCATAAGCTCGTCTCATAAGCATCAAATTTGTTCAAAATACATTATAAAGAGCATTATAATATTAATTAAAAATATTAAATTGAAAGAAAAATTCGATTTGCTTACTACATAGAGTCGAACCAACTTTCTCTTGGACAGAGTTTTATAATATTCGTGTAAAAAGAATAAATTCTTCTTTCGAATACATAATAATATGAGCTTTTCTAAGTTTTTCGCGATAAGTATATTTGGAGACTATTATCGAGAAAGTATTTTTCATTGGAGATAACCAATAATGAACAGAAGGAAAGTAAACTGAGCAAACGCCTTTTTTTCAGCAGTACAATAATATTTTTCTTTATGCACATGGACCTTATAAATTCTTTCAGTTACGAAAAAAGTTGAGGTCTGACTACACAAAGTAATTCTACTTATGGATGGAAGTGAAGTACATTGAATTAAGTGAATCAGACGATAAGTACATTGAATTAAGTGAATCAGACGATAAGCACGTTGAACTAATCACTTCGATAATTGCGAGATTGGTTCCACTCGGCAGAGTTGTCAAATCAATATCGTGATTAATCAATTTTGTTGAATGCTTAGCTTGTTTGACACATACACGAGATTATCAGAATGTCAAAATTACGCTGAAAGAATTATTCAGGCAATTAACTCGCCATATGTAGAATCCGGAAATTGAATTCGCTCAACTCGATTTCAGTTGTTCCGACCGATCCTTCTTTATAGTATGCACAGAGAAAGAAAGGGAGTTGTGCAATTTTCACATTTTAATCCCGATAATACGACTGTAAAGCCCACTGTGAAGCCCACCAATGAAAAATTAATCCACTTCTCGACTCGCTCGAGCTCCTTTGACGTAAATCATCTCGGCTTAATTTCGTTTTCATAATAAATGAGAAATACTGCCGGAACAACGAGTGGGCGACCGTAAGATCGAAATAAGACGAATTTAAGAATACATTATACGACTCTTAAATGTCACGCGAAGTTAGTGCTTTTTGTGCAAATTAATTTCTCGCAGTAACGTGATTAATACCCCGCGAGAAAAAGGAAGAAAGACCGCGAATACTTGCTCGAATACACAAAAGATAGACGGACGTTCTTGGCCGATCTCGCACGACGATCCTGAAGCGCTCGAGAACCCGAGGTGTCCTGACATACACGAGGATCACGCATAAGGAGAAGATCGTATCTCTCAGAAAGCGGGGGATCGCGGGATTGCATGCATCGTTCGGGATCGTTAGATCCGCGACGTGGAATCCACGGATTACACTGACGGCGCCTGGTATCCGCGAGATCCGGGCTCTCCGCCTACAGGTGGAGGCGAATTTCGAGCTCCTCTCACTTCATCTACCGCGCTAGTTCCGCGTTATTCCCGCCTCACCCTATCTATCCGGCTGCACGACAACACGAGGTCGAAGTCGACGCTGGGGAAGCGTCACGAGGGACCCCTCGGTCGTTGAAACGAACGAGCTCTCATCGAGTTCTCATCGGGCGAAACAAACGCGATCCCGTCGTGCGATCCACAGAGTCGTTCGACCGTCGACGTGCTCGCCACCGGGTCCGCGTGTAGGTGCGAGGATGATAGATTGAGAGATGGCAAAGACACAGAGGGAGAGGACAGAGAAAGAAAGAGAGAGAGAGAGTGCGAGGGAGTGGAAGGGAGGGAGAGAGAGTTTGGCGATTAAATTATTCATGCAACTCGGTGGACCCAACCAGCGGCCGAGCGGCCCTCCTCCTACCCGTAATGGTAGTAGATCTTGTCTTTGCAATTGCACGTGGCGCCGCAGAACTTCCGGCGCTCGCGGCCCTCCTTGGTATCCGTCTCGCAGACCCAGGAGCCGAACGTCCTGACCAGCTCGGCGCAGTTCGACCACAGGTCGGTGTAGAAGCAGGCGTTCGTGCAGAGCTGGTTCCGCGCGCAGTGGTCCTTGCACATGCTGCAGGGCTTGCCGGCCACGTAGGGCAGGCCCAGACGGCCCCTGTAGTTGCCACTGCGGAGCAGAAAGCAGAGTTCGGGCTGTTGCATTGTGAACGGCGTCGGGAGGTGATCGATCACCAGCACTCGAAATAACGCCGTCGAGGAGAGATCGATAAACGCGAAGGGCGCGGTGGCAGGTGTCCCGCCTGAGTATTTAAATGCGATTTAAATATCGTGAACATAGCGATGGGATCACGTCGATCCAGCCTGACGCGCGTTATTTCGGGCCAGCGTGATGAAAAAAAAAAAGATGTGACGCGTCGCGCACGAAGAGCGTTTGAATTTGACATTAGTGGAATTAATTCGCTATTCATTTGATCAGTCGTTTGCGACGCGAAAGAATTTTATCTCTCTTATTCATATTTTCTTCTTTTTCTTTTATACACACCGAAAAGTATCATTCTATCTGAGAGAAGCGATTACTCAGTTATACTTTCCTTTTCAATAGTGGCTATTTTTAACAAAGAATATTTTCTTGATGAGAATCTTGCAATATCTCACTGCTCACTATGAATTTTAGAAAAGCTCATTTTAAAGATTCTATACTCAAAAGAAAAATGTAATGTAAATTGGATTGATCCATGAGTTCGTGCGGATTTTTGTCTACTTGGTATTTTAATGTTGATGTTAGGCGGATAGTTTGCCATATAGTTGGTCATTTGTGTATGTGCTTTGACAGCTGACATTTCAGAGCATATTTTATGGTATAAGTGATAGTAGTCGAAGAAATACAGTTGTTTTTGTTGCAACTTGAAAGTGGAAGGCGGTAGTAATTTTTTTCGGTGCGTTATGCCTTTTTATTTTTGTAAAAATTATTAGACTTTGGCTGGAATGTTTAGTCTCACCCACCATATTCACCTGACATTGCCCCCTCCGATTGTTATCTTTTTCGCTCATTACAAAACTCTCTTAATGGTATAAATTTCGTTTCTTTAGAAAATGTGAAAAATCATGTAATTATTTAATCGTTTTTTTTGCTGGAAAATCACAAGAACTTTACGAGAAGGGAATTATGAAATTACATGAAAAATGACAAAAGATTGTTGTATTCCCCTCCTTCTCCCCCTCCAGAGTGACGCATTACTGATAATTAAAATTATTCTTAACAAGAATAAAATATTTCAATTTTAAATTCACGAGCTTGTGGATCAACTCAATAATAAGCAAGTCAAATTTTTGTTTTAATTTAATATTCTCGACTGCTAAGCTTACTAAAATTCAGAATATATTTAGCATAAATTTGATGCTTGTGATAGATTCACAGACATGTGAACTTATAAAGTACTCGAAGCAAATAATATTTACTCGAAAGCAGTATGCATTTTTCTGCGTGTGCAGGGAATCAAAGTTACATCCGTGGCGCGTTGCGCTTTCGCGTGCGAAATCGTTTCTCTTCTTGGCGGCAGCCAAGGACTAACTTATACGATTTTCGCTCGACCGCGCGATGCTACTTTCGAGCGGTTTTCGCGAAATAATTGCGCCGGGGAGACTTCTGAGATACGCTCGCGCGCGTAACGGTGTAAATAGCCTCGGCTGTATATCCATTAACCACGGCGCATTAGCGTGGAATCCCGCGTAGAGGGCCCCATCGGGCAATTTGCAAATGGGCCAACGAATTTACATCCAAAGTATTTTTCGGGACGAGTCGCGCGTCTTTAAACGCGATCGCCGGCAAGAAGGGGGTTTCTCGTGCTGTGCAAAGGCCCGGGCTGGCGCTCGCGGGCGCTGTATATCCACGAAATTAATTACGAGATAGAGCCGGTGCGGAAGAGCGGCGAAGATAAAAGGAAGGATAGGATGGCCCGCCGCCACGTGACACGGTTTATTTATTCAGGACCCAGGCTACTACTGATGGCGGCCGTGCGACCGCGCGCCGGCTTTGCTTTTCGCGTGAAATAGGTCAGGCGTCAAATACACTGCGGGAGAATGTGCGCCGCTTAACAAGAAGTACAGATCGATGTGCAAAATAGCATATGAAATGATCCCGAAAGTCCTCCCCCCCCCCCCCCCCCCCCCCCCCCCCCCCCCCCCCCCCCCCCCCCCCCCCCCCCCCCCCCCCCCCCCCCCCCCCCCCCCCCCCCCCCCCCCCCCC